CCCCCCGGTTCCTTGCAGGTTCTCTGACGAGTGCTTGTCGTCCCTGGGGAAGGCACTGGGTGAGTGCCCATGCTGTCCATTCCTGGGCCCCTGCCCCATTGTGAGGGCGCCCGCCCTCACTCCACTCCCTGTCCTGCCTGGTCTTCCTGGGGCTGGAGGGGTCCTCTGCTGCTGAGCCAGCCACGGTGCTTGCAGGCAACATCGCCCGTGTGGTCCCGCACGGGCTCCTGGTCTTCTTCCCTTCCTACCCCGTCATGGAGAAAAGCCTGGAGTTCTGGCGGGTAAGTCCCTGCTTCCCGTGTCTTCTGGGGGCGGGAGGGAGCCCCAAACAGCCAAGGGTCTGGCAGGGCTGGGCCACGTGTCTTTGAGAAGACGTGACGGGCATTCCCTCTCTGCCTCCTCCCATAGGCCCGTGACTTTGCCAGGAAGCTGGAGGTCCTGAAGCCCCTGTTCGTGGAGCCGAGGACCAAAGGAGGCTTCTCGGAGGTCTGGGTCACCGGGGCTCCCTCCCCCTGCCCTGCGGGCCACCCTGGGCTCAGGCCAGCCCCGGGGTGTGTGTGGCCAAGGTCCTGCTGGCCTTTTAGGAAGTTTGGGCTTGGGGACGGTGGCAGCATGTCTGCCGCCACCCCCCAGCCCTGGGGCCCCTGGGTTTTCTGGGCACGGCAAGCAGGCACTGGGTGCTGGCTCCGGGTCAGCCTGGGAGCCCATGCCACGAAGATGCTGCTGCAGCTCTGCTGGCCTGCCTCCTGGCTCGGACGGTGCTTCGTCTTGCAGGGTGATTTCTGGGGTCTTGCTCAAGGAGGCGAGGGGCCAGGCCGGGCTGACCAGCCTCCCCTTCCAGGTGATGGAGGCTTTCTACACGAGAGTCGCCGCCCCCGGGTCCAGTGGGGCCACCTTCCTGGCTGTGTGCCGGGGGAAGGTGAGGCCTCTGAGGTCCGGGTCCCACACACCTGGCTCCTTATCCCTGCCTGGAACCTGTGCCTGATGGGGGCTTAGGGCTCATGACCTGGGGTCCGCACCGTGGGCAGGAGAGGCCGGTCACCTCCCTCAGGCCCCATGTCCAGCAGACACAGGAGGGTGTGGCCCTGCTGGTCCTGTAGGGGCTGGCCCCCGGGTCCTAGGCTGGGCATTGGGGCCCACGCATGGGCAGTGGGCAGGTGGGATGGAGGAGGTTCTGAGAATAAGTTGGTCGTGGGATTCTGGGAGCGGTGGACCCAGGTACAGCCTGGTTCGAAGTTGGAGGTCTCTCCCACCCTGCCCATCCTGGGGGGCGTGGGGCTGTGAGGGCCCAGGCACGGGTGGGCCCTTAGGGAAGGTCCTGGGCTTGAGTGGAGGCAGATGGGGAAGAGAGTGCCCATCGCCTCCCAGGCCAGCGAGGGGCTGGACTTCGCAGACGCGAATGGCCGTGGAGTGATCGTCACGGGCCTCCCATACCCGCCCCGCATGGACCCCCGGGTTGTCCTCAAGATGCAGTTCCTGGATGAGATGAAGGGCCAGAATGGGGCCCGGGACCAGGTGAGAGGCTGTGCAGCTGAGGGTGGGCAGGTGGTGCTCAACCCCCGTGGCTGAGCCAGCCCCCTGCCCTGGCCCTGCAGTTCCTCTCCGGGCACGACTGGTACCGGCAGCAGGCATCCAGGGCTGTGAACCAGGCCATCGGGCGGGTGATCCGGCATCGCCATGACTACGGGGCTGTCTTCCTCTGCGACCACAGGTGCAGGCCC